TCAGGAGGACGGTAGATTCCTTTGGATGCCATGCTAATGAACATACTTTGTCTGTGTGATGTGTGTATGACTTGGCACATGTGGTAGTGTGTAAATCCCAGAGTTTGACTGTCTTATCCGCAGATGAGGATGCCAATAAGTTTCGGTGGTGTCTATTGGCAGCTAATGAAAGAACTGCATCCACGTGAAATTCGTCATTGGCCTTCTTTGACTTCTTGTTCTTCTTCTTTTTCTTGGCACCTTCATCTCCACCTTTGTTTTGTCCAGCTTGCCCCAGAATAGCATTAGGATACATGCAATCGACTGTATCTAAATCCCAAATCTCAATATCCGGGTCGAATGTTCCAACAGCAACGAAATTTGCCCTCGAGTCCTTGTCCACACTTGGCTTCCCAACAGGCAAATCGAGCCATTCCACACATAGAGGTATTGCCGGTAACATAATATCGTGATGTACGTAAAGGTTATCAGCTCCATCTTCGTAAACATATACTTCAAGATGTGCAATTTCATCCTCTATTTTTGCCGCCAGCAGCATGTTATCTGTTGCCAATATTTGAAGTTCTTCCCTGTCCTCATCTTCATCCTCTGCATTTCCTGCCATTGTAATATACGGATCTTCCTCGTTCGATTCGTGATATGCAAGTGATTTGACGTTTCCAAACATAGCCATTCCCTCACCACCATTCTTGTCTTCTTCAACCTCATCATCGTAATGATCCAAATCGTATTCTTTTAAATCGTCATCCTCCTCACTGTGTAAAAGTCAGCGAAATAATGTGAATTGTGGGCACTAGACGAACGCTGTTGATTTCACTCCTTTAGGAGCTTCTTCGTCATCCGAACCTTCATCATCTACCATAACATCTGGGTCTGCGCCATTATCTGCTTCATTTTGCGCTTCTTCCAAATCATCGTTCGCATCATCCAATTGTAACTTCGCAAGATCCGCAATTCGCTGAAATTCTTCTTCATCAAAGTTATATTTTGTTGGGAAAGGAGCTGCAAAGCCCCGAGGGACCCATGCGGTTGCTGTGATCATAGACATGATGTTATGATATTATATCAGAATTGTAGAAAAGCTCACAAATCGACTGGAGCGGGGATATAAAAAAATAAATTGTTCCATTTGATCAACTTTTTTATTTTTTATCTTAGCGTTATCTTGACTATTGCGGCCGCTTGAGCCCACTAGTGTCATAGACCCTTCTCAATACTCATTGAGAGTAAACGAGTGTGTTCGACCTCAAAGTTCAAAATTTTCTCCAGCTGCCAGAGTGCTATATGATTCTCAAATCCGAACAAAAAATCGAAAGTCCATTGAGAAGTTGAAGGGCTGTTTATTGGGCAACTGGCCCATTGAAGAACGTCAGTGTAAATGCTAGCCTCAAATATCACGTGTAGATAACCACTTATCATTTCTGTTATCACTTATTTGTTTACTTCCCTGTTACACCGAAATTTGATACAACAATCATCTACCATTACATTCATCAACCTAAGATGGAAGACCACGAATACGAAGGAGCACGGCCGAAGCGACGCAAGTTGGACCCTAAGCCGAAGCCGAAGCCATTTGTTGACATCAAACCGGAGCCATTTGTTGATGAAGAGGATTCGAAAGCTCTAGATAGAGATTGGTACGCAGATGATGGAGATGAATCGCACAACCCATTCGGCTCCTACGACAATCCTTGGGCGGATTCCCAACGAGAAGCACCTTTGATTGAGAAGAAGATTGTGAAGCGACAGAGCGCGCGCGCAGCTCAAAAAGAAAGGGATGTCGATGCATGGGAGACGGGTCGATTGCTCGCTTCTGGTGTCGCACAACGAAGACGTTTTGAAGATGATTTTGAGGATGACGAGGAAGCCACCAGAGTGCATTTACTTGTACACGATCTTAAACCTCCATTTTTAGATGGAAGAACTGTTTTTTCGAAGCAATTGGAGCCTGTGCCGGCAGTGCGTGATTTTCAAAGCGACATGGCAGTTTTCAGTCGCAAGGGAAGCAAAGTGGTGAAGGAGAGGCGACAGCAGAAAGAGAGGCAAAAGCAGGCCCAAGAAGCAACGAATATGGCTGGCACGGCGCTTGGAAATCTTATGGGTATCAAAGAAGAGGAAGGCGACAGTGCAGCTCCAATGATGGGCGAGGAAACACAGGGGTCTAGTAAATTCGCACAGCATATGAAAAAGAACGACGGCGCTAGTAACTTCAGTCAAAGCAAATCTTTGAGAGAGCAGAGGGAATATCTTCCCGCATTTGCGGTACGAGAGGACTTGCTAAGGGTCATTCGAGATAATCAGGTGGTAATTTGTGTCGGCGAGACTGGATCCGGAAAAACGACTCAACTCACTCAATTTCTCTACGAAGAAGGTTATGGAAAAACAGGTCTGATAGGATGTACGCAACCTCGAAGAGTAGCAGCTATGTCTGTAGCAAAGCGTGTCAGCGAGGAGATGGAATGTCCACTGGGGGGGACTGTTGGATATGCTATTCGATTCGAGGACTGTACAAGCAAGGAAACAGTAATAAAGTACATGACAGACGGTGTCCTATTGAGAGAATCTTTGAATGAGCCAGATCTGGATCGTTATTCCTGCATTATCATGGATGAAGCTCACGAGCGGGCACTCAATACAGACGTCCTCATGGGGTTGATGAAAAAGGTTCTTGCACGTCGTAGAGATGTCAAGCTAATAGTCACATCTGCAACGATGAACTCGAAACGATTTTCTGATTTCTATGGTGGAGCCCCGGAATTTTTCATTCCCGGTCGTACCTTTCCAGTCGATATTATGTATCATCGCTCGCCCGTGGAAGACTATGTCGATCAAGCGGTTCAGCAAGTATTGGCTATACATGTATCCCAAGGTGCAGGTGATATTTTGGTGTTTATGACTGGACAAGAAGATATCGAATGTACTTGCGAGCTTATCCAGGAACGCCTCAATGCTCTCAATGATCCACCAAAGCTTAGCATTCTACCCATTTACAGTCAAATGCCTGCGGATTTACAAGCCAAGATCTTCGACAGAGCTGCGCCTGGGGTTAGAAAAGTCATCGTAGCGACCAATATCGCAGAGACCAGTTTGACTGTTGATGGTATCATGTATGTTGTGGATGCAGGATACTCGAAATTAAAGGTGTATAACCCGCGTATGGGAATGGATACTTTGCAGATCACGCCGATTTCACAAGCGAATGCGTCTCAACGTGCTGGTCGTGCCGGGCGTACTGGCCCAGGAAAAGCTTTCCATCTCTTCACCGAAGCCGCTTTCAAAGATGAGCTTTACATTCAAACGATTCCTGAAATCCAACGCACAAATCTTAGCAATACTGTTCTATTATTGAAGTCGTTAGGGGTGAAAGACTTACTTGATTTTGATTTCATGGACCCTCCACCCCAAGATACTATTACTACTTCATTATTTGATCTTTGGGCACTTGGGGCACTTGACAATATTGGGGAGTTGACAGAAATAGGGAGGAAAATGACCGCGTTTCCCATGGATCCCCCTCTAGCAAAACTACTCATCACGTCTGAAAAATACGGCTGTACCGAAGAGATGCTTACAATAGTTTCCATGCTCTCAGTACCAAGCGTTTTCTACCGTCCAAAGGAACGTCAGGAAGAGTCTGACAGCGCGCGCGAAAAGTTCTTTGTCCCAGAATCAGATCATTTGACTTACCTGAATGTTTACTTACAATGGAAGTCTAATGGTCATTCGGATGCTTGGTGTACACGTCATTTTCTCCATCCGAAATCTCTTCGTAGAGCTAAAGAGATCAGAGATCAACTGCTAGATATCATGAAAATGCAACGCATGAATATGATTTCTTGCGGCGCTGATTGGGACATTATACGCGAATGCATCTGTTCAGGTTATTACCACCAAGCTGCTAAAGTCAAAGGAATAGGCGAATATGTTAATTTGCGCACGTCGGTAACAGTACAGTTACATCCTACATCCGCACTTTACGGACATGGAGATCTACCTGATTATGTCGTTTATCATGAATTGATTCTTACATCAAAAGAATATATGTCAACTGTCACAAAGGTAGATCCACATTGGCTAGCAGATTTGGGTGGTGTTTTCTTTAGTGTGAAAGAGAAGGGATATAGTGCGAGGGAGAAAAGGGTCACTGAAACGGAGTTCAATAGAAAGATGGAGATCGAGGTGAAGATGGCCGAGGATAAGTTGAGGGAAGAAAAAAGAGTTGAGGCAGAGAATAACAAACTGGCGAGAAAACCGATGGCTATCACAGATGGAAGCGGACCAGTAGTTAAGAAAGTCGCTACAAAGGGTGCTGTAAGAAGACCGGCGGCGAGAAGACCAGGAAGGGGGTTTTGAAGCGGCAAAAGAGGAGAGAGCGTGTTCCATATGCATGAACTTATGCACATATCCTTAGACTAATTAATATACCAGCTCTTTGAGCATTATAACATTCTACAGACTAAAAAATGGTTTTCCCCCTATCCAGTCTTTGCGAGAGCACAGTACATGTGGCCTCTTAGGTTTCAACAAACTACTGCCGCTGATGTAAACTTTTATGAAACATTTAAAATTACATTCCATATCGATGCTGATAGTTCAATTCCCCATGACATCATCATGACATAGTACTAATACTCCCGCATAGCTATAGCCCGGGTCTCCGACCCAATCCGTAGTGAATCGATCTGATTGTTTATGAGGAGTAAGGTTTAACGAAGTGAATCTATATTTTCGTGAACCTCGTCTAGCCGTTGATTCTCTGAACACATTAGACAAGAGTACATGGATAGAATCCAGTACGAACAAATCATATCAACTCCATCAAGTAGCACTAGTAAATACCTAGGTAAACATAGGTAGGCACTTAGTTAGAAGTTAGAGGAATCGAAAATACAACTGCGAATGCGCACACTGGACTTATCCTATTCATTTGTAAATTGTGTATTGCAAAATGTGTGTGTACTAGAATTTCCCATCCCAACATCTCCATCCCATTCCACGCCGAAACCCACAGACCGGGAAACCCAAATCCTCCAATGCCATAACCCCATGCCCATACGTAGTACCATGCTATCCCTCCAAGAACCTTTTCTCAACTAGGTGATTTGATCTGTAAACCTTGAACCCTTAATTGCCGGGAAGACTATCGCAATTCAATTTTCCGCCAGAAGTTGCAATTCCCTCATCTGTTACAAGCATTAGAGAAATACATTAGATGTAGATAGAGAAGGAGGAATAAACATACTGAGATCAACGCAGACACCGCTTGGAACGGTGCCGCCGTTTGCTTTACCGCAACCACAGCAGAGATTTGGCATTTGGAGTGAACAGCCGCAGGAGTTTTGGAACATGCCACTACGTAGTTGATATGTTAGAACAAGCTAAAACGACTTGAGTTGTGAAGTTGCATACTTTCTCTGCCACTGTTTTCTCGATATCAGTATAAGAATCTAAAATACATAAGGGATGGAGGACTTACGACAAGATGAGCGTCATTGTTTCCGAGACATGTATTCAAATTCAAAGTAGAATTCGACATGTGGCCAGAAGAATCAGGACAGAGTCCGGAGAGAATAGGTGTTATGGTAAAGGTAAATTGGGGAGCAGGACCTAATTCGATATCGTCGTAGAATTTGAAGGTAGACGCATCGCATTTGCTCATAAAGCCTCCTGCACTAGTAACTACTGCAGCCGCATGAACGACGGAGAGGAGGAGAGAAATAAGAATTACGGAATTGAATAATCTCGACATTTTTGGTACCGTGTTGCAGTTTTGTGTACTGTGTTGTGCTGAAGGATCTTCGAAGAAACTGCGTCGAACTTGGGCAGGTGCTGTAAATTTAAGCTTACCATGCGGGGTACGTAAAACCGCAGAACCGGAGAGAGTTGTCCCAGTGAACGCAGCGAGGTCAGTGAATATATTAAATAATATAAAGCATTAATTAATAAACATGCCACATGGGCTGAATTCATCAACAAGAAATCCGAGAGTTGGCGTCGTCTGACACCCTGGTAAAAATTGGGCTGATACAATACTTCATGGAAGCATTCCAATCGGACACCTGCCTTTTCACAGCCTCGGACGGGAACCACGGAGAATGTTTCGAGGAGCAATGACGAACTGTTACGAATGTAATTGATAAAGACGGGAACAAAATAAGCAGTTGGAGTTTGAGGTTTATCAAAATATGCACATATGCATGCAGACTGTAGCTACAAGAGATAAAAGTGTCGGAGATATTACTAGTGCTTTTAAACCATGCATTTATGTATCAAGGACTTCAGATAAAAGGAAAGATTAGATCGTGATACATGACTTGCCATATAAATTCATTGATCCGGCCAATCTCTGGAAAACGTCCGAAGAATGAAGTATTATTCAGCTTGGCACCCTTGTGTTGATCCCATTGTATCTCCCGATGGAAAGACTGCTTCCCATCTCCGGATCATGATATGATATCAAAACTTTGATATAGAACTGATCCGGACTCTTCAATCAATCATAAAGAATCATATATGTGAAAAGGAAGAAGAAAAAGTCCCGTGGTACAAAATAGTTTCCACTTTTAAAAAATGATACGCGCTGGCATATTAGCCTATAATACAAGCTCAAGTCTACCAAGAAGGTCTTCATCACTGATATGCTTGATCCAAATTGGAAGCTGGGGAACCCTGCATGATTACCAAGATAAGTGTGTTTCCACAGCATAAAAACACAATATATGCCGATCACATTTGCACATAGAATCAGGTTCCAGACGCTGCTCGGTAAATGTCTATGGACGCATGCACGGCATATACTTCTCCCTTTATTTCCACACTGCATCTTCGACCTTGGTTTTAACGGCCCGAAGAAGTAACCCGTGATGTGGAAGTAATAACGGCTGGTGAAAAACATTGATTTGCATGTGATGTTGTGAGTTCTTGCATCCGAAGGAATACATTGCAGATGCAATATGATGGGACCTTGGCGAGATAGAGCTTGATGTCCATATTGTTGGGGAAGGTTGTGATTTTCGGCAGATCTTTTGTTGGGTGCCATGCGAATCGCCATCTTCGAAGATGTCATCGATAGCGCGAGTAGTATTGAGAATGGATCTGTACTGTAAATTTTGAGAGCACCTTCCCATTGATGCTGATAGTAGGGTAGCGTACTTGCTATGAAAATTTCATCCCTATGCACATGTCCCATACGTATGGATTGTTCAAATCTTACGTGCGAGAAAATGGATCGTTCTTATCAGAGATGTCGCGATGTCCAAGGTGAATTTCATACGTTGTCGCTGTGGAGTTTTAGAGGAAAGAGCCGAGTTTTCGATCTCAATTAGAATATTGCGAAATGATACATACGATTGCAACATAGTCTGACCATCAAATATCGCATCGCAATTGGTTAGGAACTGGAATTTGGAATGGATAACAAAGCAATATGTCAGGCCGGGTCTCTTTTTGATGCGGTCAGTTTTTACTTCCACTAGTGACACTAGTTGATGAACGACAAAACAGCAGTGAAAACAATTTGTTGCCGGCAGCCGGTGATTTATGACTAGACAACGATCTTCCGGCAATATTCAGAATATAACCCTCAATATGTAGTTGAATCTATCCTACCAGTAGGAGATAGCAATAAATCACGAGTGTTTTGTGGCAGGATCAGAAAATGAAAAAAAGGAAAAAACTGGAGATCTGTTGTGATGGCGATCAAGATGCACTATTTGCACGCACTGAATTCAAAAAATCTCGAGGATGTAGTCTGATAGATCTTCTTCATTTTCAATTGCCTATAGAGTCTCTACAATCATCCATAGTACCTCTACAAACATCTAAATCTACCGTCTATACTCATTTTTGATCCTGTAATCCTTATTTGGCCCTTTCACACTGTATTCCTGTCTCCACTCCTCTACATTGACCCCCTTGAATCTAAACTCATATTCCACATCATACGTATCAGCAATACAAAGATGACTTGACTTTGCTCTCCATCCTTTAATCTTTCCGTGTCCGTCCATCTTATCTTGGACTTCAGGAATTATAATCTCCATCTCATGAAACAGATAATCTACACCTAGATTATCATCAGTTTTGACAAACCATAGGCTAAGCGTATCAGTATCCTCTCTATATCGATATACGTATCTTCTGCTGGCTTTAAACATCATTCCTGTATCCGTCACGAAGTCTCCTTCTTCGATATACAAGTATTCTGCATCAAAAGATGGGGTGGTAGGGAAACGAGGGAGAAATTTTGCGGTTCCAGTAAAGGTACCGGAGGGGAAGGTGGAGAGAGAGCTTTTTAGAGAGCGGGAAAGTCTCCATGTTCCTTGGAGTGAACGGAATATGGCCTTGGATACAAAGGTTCCGCGTGTGGAGGAACCGAATGTGGAAGAGATGGCAGAGAGAGCGAGTGCTGCTTGTTCTTTTTGAGCAGGGCTTGCGTGTGAATAAATATAGCGGGATGGAAGCACGATTCCTGTACGTGCTTCTAGGTCGTCTGTGGCTTCTTGCCGCTTGATTCCGACGGCTGTGGCGAATGATTCCATTAGGTATGCATAATCACCCATTGGAAATTGAGCGAGTCGAGGATCAGTGCGTAGCTGAAGAAGTTCGTCAAGGCTATCGTCTAATTCTAGGGTTTTATGTGCATGTGCATCGCCAGACCAGAGTTTTCCTAGGAATCGAGCTTGCATTTCCATGACGCCCCAATAGGGACTTCGGTAAAATCCTACAAAGCCGAGAGAGGGAATCTTTGCATTGACTGTAGAGTGTAAATTTAAGGCAAGCGGTAGCTTGCTGCTTGATTGGTCAAACGAGAGATGTTGGAGGATTTCCTTGGGCAGAAAATCGAGTGATGGAGATGCATCAAAACCAGTTGCCAAGATTACTGCTGCAACATCATTAATTACCTGTTGATTTCCGTCCTCCTCGACAGTGATGGAATTTGATTGATTGAGTTCTGGACTGATCACCTTTCCTCGGATCGTTTTGATATCTCCAGCTCGGACAAACTCGACATAGTTGTCACTAACTGTAAGCCGTGGTGGTTCAGAGCGAATATCTCCTACTATTGCTAGATGATCTGTACTTATTCCGCTCTGGTCTGTCCCCAGATAATTGTTTAAGAATCTGTTAGTTGTTTCTGCCAAGTCTGGTGATATGTGACCAGATGAGTTTTTGATAGACCCAGGAGGTTTCCATCCAAGATTGTACATGACCAGATCGAGGGGTAAAAATGTAGGTGCTGGATTTGGTATCTGAAGTGGGCGTTAGCAGCAGTAGGTTTCCCAGTTATTAGAAATGTGTTAGGTACCTTTTCAGCTTCGGGTTTTGCACCATCAATGTTCGGGTTATTGGGTAGTGTTAAGGTCATCACCCAAAATGGCTGTTGGATCACATTGTAGATCTTGTATTCTTTTGCATTTGGAATCGAACGTTCAGTTGAGTTCACGGAAGAGGATACTTGCAAAGCTATTGCTGCTGCGGTTTCAACACCAGACATTTGCCCTCCAACAACCACGATGTTTTTGCCCTTAGGTGAAGAGAGTTTTCCATTGTCGGTCAACGCACTATTGACATCACGAAGTTTGGAACTGTGCCAGACTGGAGCTGGAAAATTTGCAAGAGTATCGGGTATCTTAGGCTTTCCAAAGAAACCAGTGGCCACAATTACTTGATCGAATTCGTAAACCTGTAGGGATTCGGTAGACTCAGTGTGTTGAACATGCACATTCCATTTCCCTGGCGTAGCTGAAGTAGCTTGCCAATTGTATGGCGGTTCGACCTTGGCTACTTTGACACCCATCTTGATAGAATATCCAGGGTACATTTTGATATAGTCTTCGAGGTACTTCCCAACCTGCCATGCTTTCGGAAAAGCAGGCGATGAAGCAGACCATGCCAAGTCACTGAAGCTGACTGTATGTCGACTTTGGTTCGTACACATATCAGGATTTAACAGACCGTCATCATCGCGAGATATGGGCCATAATCCACCGATTCTCTGCGACTGCTCAAAAACTGTCACGTCAAAGGTGCCTTTTGGATGATCGTGAGTGAGTGTTTTGGCTGCTACGAGCCCTGAAGGACCAGCGCCTAATCCGTGAATGTTAGTCATGAAAACCTCGGAAGATGAGTGCACTCACCAATCACACATACAGTTTTCGTTCGAGTTGACATCTTAACAAGTGTGTAGCTTGCACGCATAGAAAGCTGGGGGTTCCGGATTTCAGCTTGTCAACTCGGAACCTCACAATTTAAAGACAATCCAACCAACGAATGTATTAACAGCTTAGTGATACTTTCAATAGCTGATCTGTATTTCCGTGCATTGTATTACTATCCTAATATTTACAACTTTTGGGGAGTTTTTGTCGCTGCACATCCGATACCTAATCGGAAATCTGACGCGCATGATCACGTTTTGGCGTTTTCAGTTAATAGTCACGTGAGGCTGCGCAATAGGCTTAAATGGTTGGGGCAGATCTCAAGTTGAGGCTATTCCATAGACAGTTTAGCTTTGATAGAAAGTGTGCAGTGCATGCAGAGCTTGGCCCAGAATGACACCAGAGCCCGTGCCACATTCACCCCTCCCTCCTTTTTTTTCAACAGATTCCGAACATTTCAAAACTATCTATCTATCAATTCAATATATTGTCATTTTTGTTAGATATCATGATTACTATATAATAATAACGTTATACCACTTTTTAATTCTAAGGACAAACCTTCGCAGGGAGAAATTGGATTCAGCGAGCCTTTTGATGAAGCACAGTCAACATTTTCATCGTGGGCTGAGATTGATCCGAGTAGAAAGATAGTCTTAGCAGAGTGAATCTATTTCATCATATAACATAATTGAGTATTTGTGGAATAGATTACTCGAGAATTGGACCGTGTTACCATCAAAAGCAGGTCTAGCACTTTTCTTCTTTCAAAATTGTTTTGGAACATACAATGTAAGCATAACCATTCCAAAAACACATCTTTTCTTGAAGGGCAATGGTGAGACTTTTTGTGGCGCGACGACTAGCTCTGAGTTTCCCAGAGATCATTTAGATCCGATCAGATGGCTGTATCAGGTCCAGTCATAGATGTCTTTGGCTTGGGGATCTGTTTGAAGATGGGAATGGCAGTCAAGGCTGCGGTAATCATGAATAATAACCATTCGAGCGCCCCAAAGACTGTCGCTACGATGAGGATCCTACATGAGTTATTTCCAGTTGAACATGTGTCGGTTGAAATTTGAACAGCTACAGCGATGAAACCAGCGAGCCATGAGAGAACAGCCACAGTCTCAACGGCAACGTGAATGTAGCCAATCAACGCACCATCCGGGAATTTGATCCTAGCAATGGTGTGAAAGATGACAGTTAGAAACGTCCAGCCAGCACAAAACATCAGAAAGCCCCATGAATTAGGGACGCCGTAGTAATCGTAGAAGCTACCGAAATCGAAATGTTCGTAGACAGTGTGTCCGCGAAACACGTGAATAGCTAAGCGACGTGATCAGACTCAACAGTGCATCTACAAACAGGGAAAAATGGATTCCACGCACCGTAGCCGTCAGTTCCCATAACGGTGATGGCGAAGATAAACTGCAGTACTCGCAGGACATGATCAAGCATTCTGTTCGTCAAAATCACGGTCATGATGTGTAGCAGTCTATGGTCGAATAGATCACGGTAACGGGCACAGACGAATACTTTGTGTTGCGGCGGCTGTCAAACGAGTCAGCGAAACGTCCACGCTATAAGTTGAGAACATCTCAACCTACATATGGCTTGGCAATATTACTATCAAGTCTTTTGGATGGAGATATAAGGTTGTATTCTTGTGTAAAATATGTCAGGACTTGTCTGAAAGGTGATAAGCTGAGCAGGTGTTTCGTGTTCCAAGACAGCAGAGAGAATATGGATATTGCAAGCCTTTATAGGTATCAGTGACTAGATCCATGATTGCTCACGAGTACTCAAGTGCGTAAGATTTCTGAAAATGGCTTCCTATATTGAAGTGTCTACCTACTTCCTATTGGAAAATCCTCTTGTAGTCGTGAACATACACAGCCATGCTTACTCATCTGCTTATGTAGTCATGTTGATCTATTCTGATTCGTCCGTTCGTATAACTTAAAGGGCTGAATAGTGGCTCCTTGCTTGGTAGGAATGCTGTGTATTGAGCAGTCATACCGCTAGAGCTCTTGAACTTTTGAATGATATCTAATTTTCCCTTCCAGTTCAGAATTCGATCAATATTATTTTTACATCCAAACTCATACCGGGGTTGATTTATGTTTATCTCTCTTTATCTACATTTAAGTCTTCCTCCAAATCAAAGGTTCCAAGTCTACTATAAAGTACTTTTTTCCAAGCGATAGGTAGTCACTCAATTTAAAGTTTTTAAAGTTATCTGATAAAACAGCCTTAGTGGATTCTGCACGGACCAAGCCGGGATTCATCAGTATTCTGAGGGACACTTCCTTGTGTCTTCGTGCGGCAGATGTAGCCCAAACAGCCTGGCAGACTACCAGTTGCTGCGCCGAATTTTGACCATGAAACTTAGAGATGAGATTCGAAGTTGGCCGGCAGGTTGACGACTTACTGCTGTTCAAATGAAATCATTTCAATCGGCGAGATGGCGAGAAATCAGATTCAGCAACGCAAGCGACGATCCGGTCCAAAGGTTAAAACAGGATGCGGAACTTGCAAGTAAGATTGAATTGCCCTCTCGTAGGTGGCACACCAACTCACACAGCTTTTAGAACCAGGAGAATCAAGTGCGACGAGGCCAAACCGAGTTGTCAGCGGTGTTCAAAGACCGGACGAAAGTGCGATGGGTATAGCAGCGATATTATGATATCCAGCCAAAAATGCACGCCCTATATAGACCTCATTCAACAAATCTCCGTCCATATACCTGGGAACGCGGAAGAAAAAAGAAGCTTCGATTTTTTTCTTCGGAATACAGCAGCCGAGCTATCTGGATACTATGATTCCTCATTTTGGGGAAACCTTGTACTGGCTGCTTCTACACAAAAGCCTTCTTTACGGCACGCCGTGATAGCACTAGGAGCCTTGCATGAAGACTTCTCACGGAAGAGGCTGCACTCCGCTCCATCATCGGAGAACCAAAATACCCAATTGGCACTAAATCAGTACTCGAAGGCCATAGGAGCACTGCGGAGGTCTTTATCACATGGGAAGGAGGAACCTCTCACGGCGCTCATGTCCTGCATACTGTTTGTCTGCTTTGATAGCCTGCGAGGCCATTATGAATCAGCAATGGTCCATCTTCAAAGCGGGCTTGGGATTCTACGGGACATAAGAAAGTCGTCTACAAGGAATCAAATTATCGAGGAAAAAATTGCTCCTCTTTTCAGGAGACTATCGTTACAGTCTATCATATACGTTGAGACGAAAAGTGAACATGAAAAGATAAGCTTTGTTGAAAAGTTGATAGACGACTCCGGGAAAGATATTGTAATTTCTGGAGAGTTTAAAAGTATAGAAGACGCACGGAATGCTTTAGATCAAGCCACGGATAGTTTATTTAGGACATTCTATATGATGGAGTAAGCAAACTATGTCCTTCTAAGTTGAAGCTTCGAAACTAATCCCATTCGCCAAACACATGCTAACTTGAAGATATACAGACGCGTTCTACCTATCATTTTACAACCCACAGAAACCCTCGCTACATTCAACAAAAGCACATCCCAGTTATTTCTCTGGAACCTTGCATTTGAACAATTTATGATATCCAAAAGCAAGAATTTCACCAACAGGGAAGTGCAAGGTGCCGCACTCTTGAAAATACATCACACGACTTTGAATATCATGGCTGGCATGTTCCCTGACATCAGTGATATGACAGTTGTAGTTGAAATGGTGGACACTGATGGCTTCTTAAAATATTTGGACGACTTTCAAATCATCATCGACTTGTCAAGGTCGTTGATCGTAGCTGCGGAACAGGATGCGATGAATGGAAGGCCGTCGCTCACTTTCAGCAGTGATTTTGGCGTTGTAGGACCGCTTTATTACGTCTGTATCCACTGTCCTACTCTCTCCATTCGAGAAACAGCAATGGAGCTAATGTTACGATGTCCGCGACGAGAAGGGATGTGGAATAGTGCAATTGTTGCTCAAATGATCCAACAATTCTGGGAACTGGGAGCAAGACACAGAGAATCGCAAGAGATGGGGTTTGAATTAGATGAATTTGGAATGCCAGTGCCTTTCAACGACCGGGGAATTGTTCACTCTGCATTTTTCGGTCGACCAACAGAAGTAAATCCAACTGACCTCTCCCAATATACTCCTGCAGACTTTTATCCTTCTGAGCCAGTGAAATTTCCAGCGTCTTGGGGATTGTGGCCGAATCTAACGACGCATGAGAATACGACACGTCAAGATACAGAAGCGGACGCCTTAACTCTGCCGGAAGAAGTAATTGCACAGTAACATGATCTGCACGGACACAGCATCGTTCAATACGTCAATCTGAATGGTACACGCTAGTATTTGATTGATTCCGTCTATATTAGCCTACCATGGTGTCGAGGTTGTGAACAGTGGCGTGAGATAACAATTAATGTGCTACTGCGCACGTGTTCACATGTAGATTAAGCGTTTGAAAAACATACTGTTGAACATTGCATGCTCGGCCACTTTGGAATGAAGTAAAATAGAATGTTTCTCTGAGTACGCGGGATCAGGGCAAAGGCCATTGGGCGCGACTAAGCGGCGGAGGAAAGCTAGCGGCACTCGGCAGCATCGACGAAACGATCGACAGCCTTATCAGCGACTGTAATTCTCTTGTTGCATATTGATTTACTGGTGTTAGAATTGCTTTAGAATAATTACATACTGATCAAAACTTTGTATATTTGTGAGGAATGAATTAAGTCACTGAAACCTTGGATTCATTTCTTTGCGCCCTGAAGTCAACTTAGTAGACCCTTCATTATGCCAATGTTCTTGTTTATTTTTTCTTTCATTTTCGCAAGTGAGTTTAACAGATTTTATCTAGGCAGGGACGGGATATCTTTACTGTTACATGGGATTTCTGAGCATTAGTTCTTCGGGGATGGTATACAATATGACAGATCAATTCTGGAAAAGGAATGTTATTTGGGACAACGTTTCCTGATAGTCTCCGCCTTTTGAGTACACAAATATTTTTGTTTTAGCGAGCTTCGAAGGTCCTCGAAATCCGTAGTTCATGAATACTCTACCGAAGCGAGGCTAGTCTGTCCGATATGGCTCTTTGTTTTTCTCATGTTGTTATCCGTCGATTTATCTTATGTGGGAGTTTTTAGCTGTCTCTGGAGAGGAATATCGTGAGCGAGAGAGTTGCGGCCATGATTAAAAATCTGAGCAGCATGTATGTACTTAAAAGAATGACCAAGTGATTCATCTTTGAGATGTTTCAAGTTAATTTGACTGCTTACAGATGCGAGGTTCCAAATTGGGGTGCTGGTGAAGATTGTGTAGTTATTTTTAATTCTCTTTACTATTTCTGATATTTATTTAATTTCGATGAAAACTTCAACTTTGATAATTAACGGTTTCGATTTTGCTTCTAAGTGTCTCTCTTCGCTACCATGAGCCTCTAGATGAAACATGATCTAAAATTTGGATTGGGAAATATGTTTTCCGGACTGATATTCAAATCTTTGAGTTCGATTATAAGCGACTTTATGTGAACTATCTTCGTGATGACTACGCGGCGGCGCTAATGTTTGCTAGTTTGTAATTTACTGTTATTCCACCTTTCTAATTCGGTGAGGAAGTCTTCCGTGGTGAGTCTAAAAAGCTATATTGTTTCAATGATTAGTATACTCTATTTGACTCGACTTTTCTCGCACAACGTCTAGCTTGATATCAACATTCAATATCCTTACAATACCTACTGTAGGATAATCGAGGTTATCCTGCTCTCAAAATTCACTTTAGCAACTCTAACATTCACATTATTGTTTCCACTCATGCAGTCATTGTATTCCGTTGGTATGATAAAGATGTATTTATCGATCCTATCGATATTCCTCGGAACCCCGGATAGACACAGAATGGATTGAATAGACTTTCATTCCATCACCGTATGTTAATCCCAGATTTTGCGCGCACAGCCTTTCTACATTGAACTTCCCAAATGTGTAGCCATGTTCCTCCCCCAGTTTCCCACTCATATCTTACATCCGCGCCACCTGACAATATTGCAGGTGCGCCGTCTCCCCATGCTAGTAGCACTATCACTACTCATCCTTGCGCGTAAAGATGTAATGATCTGGTAATATCATCTTCCCGTGGCTACTCCTAGTAGCCTCCCCTCCCCCTCCTCCCCAATGAGTGGCTCGTCAGAATTTCATTTCTTACATCCCGAGCCACATGCATAATAGCAATTGTAGGAAGCTCACGAGAGCCCAGAGACCGAAGATGGCTGCGGCAAGGATTAAGAAGACCAAAATGCCCTCGACAGTGTTGGTGTAGACGGATCTTGGTGTGCAGCCCATGGAAATCATCTTGCATGCTTTCCATTTTTGATTGTTCGTGTGTGTTTGGAAGTAGTGGGTACGAGAATTCTTAATGAATTTATTGGCGGATTGATATCCGAAAGTCTGGTTTGTGGTTTGTGTGAGTAGTGAGAAGGATCTGGACTCTGGTTTGGGTTGTTGGTTGGTAGATTTGTTATCTGAGAATTCGATTTGGAGTTTGTTCGAGTTCTCTGGTTTGGATAGTTGATGAAGAAAAGAGAGAAGATGACATCTTGACTGCATGGTGAATTGTAAGGCGGGTTAGTAAACCATATATGTGATGCGTAGATGTGTTTAGCTACTCTTCTCTGGTCAAGAGAAGATGGTTCATAACCATACTCGTCTTGGAAATCAAAACTTTGTTCTTGAGTTAGAATATTTTGATTTTACGGTGAATGGGGTGAGATGAGTAACTAGTTTTTTTGTATAGCTGTGTTTGACTATTGTCTCGTCTAATTCGCATACGGTATGCCAATCGTCACATTCATTTCTTCTCCTATTAGTTTGAGTGTCTTGAGTACCTTAATAAAAAAGCGAATGATTGGATGATTGATTGATCGATCGATTGATTGAATGATGTTCTATGATACGGTCAGCACCCCTAATCACGTACACAAAACAACATTCAGCTGATACACCTCACAGAACCAATACCTACGGTTATATCCCAACCACATTTCCGAATCCAGAATACACCCCCCATTCACTTAAGAAAGTTTTAGATCTGATACCTACATATCGAATATCCAAGTATGGAATTATCTGATTACTCCTCCGTATCGTGTGTCCGAAATACTCCTTACCATACCCATAATACGTAGTTAGACTAGGTATACTTCGATATTCATACTACATACGATACAATATCTCGAAAATTAAGGAGCTGAGAAATCTTATAGCTTGTTATCATCTGGATCTGTCTATCTGAATACAAGAAATAACTCTTTTCTCCATCCTCCTTTCTCCTTTGTCGCCCCTCAACACCTCAACTCCTCAACTCTCTATACCTCCACACCCTATGAATCCAATCAAACCGTATAAGCTACATACACATACAAGACCTCTATATCTCATGAATAGGCACTCCCCTCTCTTCTCACTTTCCCCTCCCCTTCCTCGCTTACTATGTAGTCATCCCCCTTTCCTTTCAAAAATAAACTCAACAAAAAAATACACTTTGATGAATGTAAATTCTCCAAACCTCTTTTTTCTCCTTTCTTCCTACACTAAGATAGATTTAACCCAATTCCATTCAATGCAACTCAGTTATAAAATTAGAATTTATGAAATTTAATTGTCATTTGATAGAATGTAACATAAATTTATTATGTGAAAGTACACTAAACTTAACTCTTTATATTGATATCTATATCTATATCTACACCAACTCACGAGAAAGATATTAGTTTTCCACAATAATTTACAAGATATCTATAGATTACATACATACAAATGTGTGAGTACAGATCATTTTCACATAGTATAATTACGGCTCAACTAACATCTTATCTTCCTTTACGAGTTCAAAATTATAGAATTTCAAACTTTCAAAACATGGAAAGATTCTCTCGATTCCCAAGATAGTACATACAAAATGAGATATAAATCTCCAGAGCAACTCAATTTCATTAAACAATACAATACAATACTATTTATATCAATCTATACACACACACACACACACACACACACACACAAACAGAAACCAAAACCTCAATCAAACCCAATCAATAAAATACCCCTAACTAATCTAACTAACTAATCTAACAAGATGATCTAACAAAATAATCTAAACCTACATAACCACCTACCCAACCACCCAACCACCCACCTCCCCAGCGTAAAACTCTGTCTAATCAAACCAAGAAGGAAAAATACAACTGACGGCTGGGATGAGCCAAGATGAGACGAGATATTATTACTATTCCCCCTCGATCACGAAGCTGCGTTGTGTTGTAATTATTTGTTACTCACTTCTGAGTCTTTGCAGCCCTGTCTGAATACTTCTCTTCCCTAGCACCTCTCTTCCCTAACACCTTCCCCTATCTTCCCAAACACCTCACTAAATCCCTTCCCCTTCCTTCCCCCTCCCCTCCCCTCCACACAATACTCACCCACAAACTCACGCCCTCAAACTCGGATCCCCACACTCCAAATCAAACCACACATTCGGCACACTCGGAATAATGCTATCCAAGCTCTGCGCCACACTCCCACCAAAGAGATCACATCTGGGTGCGCCGGTCCCTGGTTCCGGATAGAAGGAATAGGATACGCAGCCTTTGTCTATGCCGTAGACGCCCTATGGTGGGGTGGAGGGTTAGTTGTTTCTCGTTTGATATCCAAAAAAAAAAACAAGAAGATGATGGAGGGGAGAGGAGAAGAAGGGAGAGGGGTTGACCAAGATGAAAACAACAACATAAGAAAGCGAGAAACTCACATCACAAAACTCCCAGCACCCCTGCAGCGTAACCGCCACCCCCGCCTTATCCTCCACAAACTCGGCCAAGAAATAATCTCCGACGGGTAAACCATGGAGTCCGCAATGTACAGCTGCTGGATTGGGGGTTCCGCTTGCTTGGAGGGTGGTGACGGTGGTGGTGAAGGCGATGGTGGTGCTGGGGTGGAGATCGGTGGTGCCGGTTGAGATGGGGAGGGCGGGGATGGAGAGGGAGGAGGAGCTGGAGATGGGGGTAGAGAAGGAGAGAGAGGATAAAGATGAGGAATAGGGAATAGTGGTTGTAGAAAAAGAAGAGTAGTTGAAGTAGATTCCTGAGTTGAAGTCGCGAGAGTCGATGTTGCTGATATCAATGACAATATCGATGACAATACCCACGATGACGAATTCCCCGATGCAGAAGGTCCTGCACTCACACTAGTCCCCGTTCCTGTTTCCACCGCAGAAGAAAAAGAAGAAGTCACACTCGCATTCCCCGCACTCGTAGTCCAAACTCTACTCGAGGTCTCCACCGGAGTCACCGTCCAAATACCCGTCGAATTTCCCCCTGTGCCTGGGACTCCTGATGGAGAGCCCGAAGGAGAGCCCGAAGGTAACGGTGTAGTTGTCCAACTCGTCGATACGGGATTTGTAGATGGTAAAGGGGTAGTCGTCCAAGAACCGCTCTCGATAACAGTAATCCATTCTGTGCTAGTGCAGCTTTCGGTCACAGTAATGATGCTGGTGGGGAGTGCGGAGCAGAGAGTGAGGGATGTGTTGTCGATGATGAGGGTTGCTGAAAGAGTGGATGTTGGGGATGATGAGGTTGGTGGTGATGGAAATGTGTTGATTACGACGGGAGTAGCCGAAAGAATTGGATCTGTAACTGTAGAAATAATCGAGACTGTAGTCGAGAGACCTCCACCCCCAGAAATCAAAACATTTGCTACCGAAGAACGAGCAATAGACGAGCTCGATACCAATGTCGAAAACGAAGTACCAGAAACCGTAGTACTACTTCCCGTTTCTTCAGCCACTAGATGCGGATGTGTGAATGGTAAAAGTGATCGAATCGACGTATTCGAATCATCATCATCATCATCATCGCCACCCCATGAACCACCTCCATTTCCTCCATGTCCACCTTTTCCCGAATCAGTACTCCACGGCCACCCCCATCGCTTTTCTTGAATTTGTTCCTGAAGATTCTTTAGTACGTATACAAACATCTCTATCTAAGAAAGAAAAATGAACATAAGCGAATTAAGAAAGCAAATCGACATACAATTCTCTCGCTCGGTTGAGGAACCGCCGAAACAACATTAGACAATACGGCGATCGCGCCGACAACCGTAAGGAGTTGCATTGTTCTTCCGAGTGAACTTGAGATTTAACAACTGACCAGCTAGCAAGCCAATAAGTAGAACCTTTAGTAAATATGAGAAAGTATAAAGAAGTATCAATCAAGTGATTAATACCACCAGAAAAGAGAGTGAAGAAACGAATGAACGACTGGAGATCAAGGGAAAAGACTGTAATTTCGTATTCGAGCTACTATCTAACTTTCCACTTTCGAAAGGATTTTCATCGTATCTTATAAGTATATCAAGAAACACTTCTTTTCTCCCAATAAAACTACTCCTTGGTAGATTATTCATAGTATTCTCGTCGAGGCGAGGGAGAGTATCAACTCATAAGAAAGGGGTTCCAAGTGCAAGGGAGCACAAATATTTACCGAGCCAAGGCAAGGAAAAGAAAAGAAAGCAACAAATAATTCACATACACTTCACACACTCAAATTCATCTCGCCCTTTCGTAGTAGCTACTGATTATCATTCAACCTAATCATCCATACCACTTTCGTTATTCCTATTTACAGTTTGGGGAAAAAAATCAAATAACCTCTGCAATGCTACCATACCAATCCCTTAATAACGCCGAATATAATGCTCCTTGGGAAATAAACCCATTCCCTCAAAAATGCTGAAGGGGTATCGTACAATAATGTATGAGCAAGGGAAAGAACTGATTGACATTCAGTATTCCAATTTTTGCTAGATATGCAGATCTAGACAATTCGACTGTGGAGTACAGCAGGGACGAATCGGAATTTTGTGCTGAAGCCGTGTAATTTGAACAGCGCATCCCATCAACAACTGACTTCTTCTGTCCATAATCTTCTCATGAAACAAAACTTTCATAGACCATTCGTCATCGTGGTATCGTGGCTGAACAGTCTCAATCCTCCCAGATAGTATCTAGATTCAAATCACCTCGTCTTTCAGCACCACAAACACTCCAGCGTTTTCTCTTGTCTCGTGTACCGAATCCTCCCAAAACTCTGTTACGACCTCCTGAAGTGTCTAATCCTCTAGATTTGGCATCTTCACCTTCATACCCATCCGCCGCATCTGCTGCAGCTTTCAACTGAGCAATTCTCTCTGCTTCCAAGGCAGCTTCTTCTGCATCTGGCGTATCAGGTATTGTTTCCAAACTGGATATACTTGGGCTGCGAGATCGAGTCGAGGTAGGTGTGGAAGGAACTGATGAGGATGCATATGAACCAGAATAATACAGTGGATTATTGGATGTGAGGTAAGATTCGCCGAATTTCATTGTGTGATATGATGGGGATGAAGTCGACGAAGTCGAAGAGGATGGTGTCGTGGGGGTTGTGCCACTGTAGAAAGGACTTGTTGGTGCAATCTGTCGTAAAGGGGAGGCTGGTCTTCGTACTCGTGTATAAGTACCATTAGAAGGTATGCCTAAAATTGGTGAGGCACTTCGATCTGCCATTTTTGGAGTATCCTCCTCTATCGCTGACTGTCCATCTTCACTAATATTGATCAAAGCACGATTCGGAAAGCCTGGGAATACCTCATCTGCTGGTTTTCTGGGTATGCGAACTCTAGCTGGTGAACTCAAAGGACTCGCGGGTCTCGGAGGAGACATAAGTAAATGACCAGCCCCGTTTACGCCAGGAAGTGATTGTGCGCGCGACATTGGAGGTGCAAGAGCACTGCCGTTTGATCTTGATCTAAAATGACCTCTAGCATATGGTGAGGTATTGCGGGGACGAAAAGGAATTGAAGGAGTAACAGGAGATGACCATCCTGGAGAACGAGGTGTTTGAGGTATTGGATCTGTAGTTCGACGAAGGTTCGGAGGTCTGCTAGATTGTTCTCGATCCTTTATCGGAGTTTGACTATCGTAGAGAGCCGATTCTTGTAATCGTAATCTTGGTACTGGAGATGCTCTGAATTCCTCGAGGGAGTGGAGTTCAGGCACGGGTTCCATGATTATATGCGACCGTTGTGAGGATCCAATAACGGCATGGAACGGCTGTATTGGTGAATATATGATAAAGACGTACAGGAAGGTAATATCGCGGGTGATTTCTTATTTGCTGCAATCGATAAGGAAAAATAACACAATTCTTTTTTGGATAATGTTGAGTTTTGACGTGTCTCTCTTCCTTGAGTGGTCAATATCTTTTTTCCAAGTTGAATTAGAAATCGATATTGTTTGGTGAAGGGTGTTGTTGTGTTGTGTTGTGTTGTGTTGTGTCGTATTTATTGTATTGTATTGTATTGTGTTGTATTGTGTTGTATTGTATTTATACTGTAATGTTTTCTTGGAAGTTTCGCGATACCAGCGCAAAGAGGAATGAAGAATGGGGAGAGGGAGAGAGGGGTGATAAGAAAGGGAGTAGGCAGAAGGAGGAGTCTTTTCTCGTATTCTTCCCCTTTCCTATATAAGAAATCGAGTCTCTCTGGTTATAAAAGAAAAGAGGTAAAGTATAGAATTCAATGTAGAATCGAGAAGCGAAAATGAAGCCGGCCAAAATTGATTGATGTGATAGCATATGGTTGGTTCATGTATACATTGCTCATGCGGATGTCATCATGTTCATGCTCATGTTCATATTGATGTTCATGCTCACGCTCATGCTTATGCTCAGTGTTTACTAAAGTTGGGGAAGTTTTGTTTCTTATGAGCCAGGAATTTCCTTTAATTATGATTTGGGAGGGGGGGGGGGTGGGAGGGGGAGGGATGGGGGAAAGAAGAGCGCGATCATCTATCTCTTTTGGGGAGGCCGGTAGATGGAGTTGATGGTTTAAAAAAGATGCAGGAAAGAGCTTCCACTTCGGAGCTTTATCAATTTAAAGGGTCCTTTTCCTAGGTTCTTGAGTAGATCAATAAACTAATAGCCAAGGTACCAATAATGGATGCAGGAGTATCGGTGAAGGAAAAACATTTTGAAAAATCCCCAGGATATCCATCCAAGGAGTTTGTGATATTTTGCGTTGATGCTTTGATATCGAATGAGAAACGTGGAGAGATGAAACCAAGGGAATGGCTCGGTATGGATGGCATGACTTACTAGTCACCCTTCTCTTTTTCGTTTTTTTCGTCTTTTTCGTAGTTTATGATCTAAATCCAAAAGTCTTCTAGACTCTGGGGTCTAGAAGAAAAGATTCCATTTTCACTACGCAGTACTACGCAGTACTACGCAGCAATAATAAGGTTGGGTACTCGTACTCAACCACGCACGCACGCACACACGCATTTGGTTGAAGACGAACAATGTCCACGAAAGATCGTTGATGGTGGCGGCCACTCCGAGAGAAAGGATTGTGTCTAGATCTGCTCCATCCTACTCCATACTACTCGCTACCATTCCCATCTTTCTCTCTTCACTGCCTCACCTGTTATCAAGGAGTACCTGGTAGTTTGTAGATGGATATGATCCATTCGTTCATACATCTACACACATCTACACACATCTACACACATCTACATACATCTACATGCATACAACACGCACAGCACACGGAGGATGCAATTGCTGTATCGGAGCATCTACCCAGGACCTAGGTATATCATCACAAACCCATGATAAACCACAGCGTTTAACAGATTAAAACCACCAATCGAATCTCCATATCTCTCCAAAACAATGCACCCCATCTTTAAAATGCATCAACATACATTCGACGATCGGATCCTCCAACCCGCCAGCTTCATGGATGGACGCATACAGAGGATAATTAAATGGAATGGCGTTACCTAGGGGGGGTTGCTATGCTATGATTTCGTATTCTTCTGAGACTCGATCATGCAGCCTGCGAGACTTATCTGTGTACCTGAACTGTAATATATGGTTCTATGTGTGAGTAAAGTATGTATACCGTAGAGTATTGACCTCGGATGAACAATAAGTGATTATTTATTTACCTGCTGGATACTCCTCACCCTGTTCTGTTTTTTTACTCTCTGCTGTCCTCTGTCCTCTGCAACATGTTAAAATATAAACAATACCCATCAAACTCGCCAGCTTCTCCTCTCGCATAAGATACCCATCATACTCCCTTTCCTCTCCCTCCCTCCCATTCATCCCTTCAGCTTTGTTCCCGACAATCATTCCCATCGTGTCACAGATCATGCGGGTTCGAATCTTCTCCCGTTCCAAACTCCCTTCCATCACCTAGCATGATGTTTCATTTCAACCTTTCCAGCCCCTCCATAAATAAATAAAAAAACGGTTATGGCGGCGTCTTGAATGTTTGCAATCAATTCGTTCATGTACGATGTAGCTGCCACGCGGTATCATGCAGCATGATCTACAGTTGGACAAGCCAAAATGATCGAGATTTTATACATGTGAAGTGTGTAGGCTGTGGAATGATACTTGTACCTTTTTTGTGCTGGTAAGCTTGACTCTGGAGGGAGGTATGTAGAGTGAGGCAGCGATGCTAAAAAAAAAACTCCTATCTTTGAATTCAATGAAAATAGCACCAAAGCATCCAGTCACAGCACTTTGTCAATATATGTAACAGTCGGCAACAATAAAAAATGTTCCCAAATAGCCATCAAGAGAGTCACATCCGAATGATCCCTTAGCAAATCATTCCACCGCAACGAAGAGTATTCATCCGTTCTCCCCGGCAGCTGAACCTACGATGGTAACCAATCCCAAGCGTGTGTGTATCCGAAGATTAAGTATAATATGAGGCGAGCTTGGAAATTTTAATCATTCCTTGGATAAAAAGGGGTCACCAGTACCAATGAAAGGGAGGCACGGGTAAAAGCAGAACATGAAACAGCCTTGGTATTTGGAAAGCATCATAGGTCAATTTGTTCATGCTCCGTACTGTGATACCATATCCCATATGAATCTTCAGTCAAAACTCAATCATGAGGTGTATGTAGACTTTGTCTCCTGTCACTTACCTGTCTCGAGTGTAAATATAGAAATCGATGATGAAGAGTAAACAATCCGTCTCTGCTAAGTGCTGTCTGTGTTTATTGTCTTTGTCACTTGCGGCGTACGATCAAGGTGATTTCCCATACTAAAGAACATGGTGGATGAAAAAATGGACACTTAATGGAGAACCTTAAAGGTACGCCCCGGTGCTGAAGAAGTAGTTTAATAACGTGGAGAAAATACGAGAAGAATGGAAGAAAACTCCTGAATGGATTTCAGAGTACAATCAACACCTAGATGCTGGCTGACTGTATGCTACATCTATGGGTGTAAATTGAGATACTCTGTTATATACACCTAGTCCCTACACACACACACACTTATCGAGTATTGTCGAGTACCCCTATTCACCTTCGTCGACATCACAACACCAACATCAATTCCAACCATCTACCGTGGTTCTCGAATGATGATGGTGATGAGAGTAGATATTACGATGGACGGGTGTACTTATTACCAGACACCCATCTCCCTGTCCAGGTCATGATAAGCCTGAGCCACCAGAGTCCCCCAATTGCACCTTAAATAACTTTAAATTCTCACATCAATCCCTTTACCCAGGTACTCCATAGCTATATCAAACATATCGTGTCCAGATCATTATGTGATCCTCTTAAATCCCATCTCAACCAATCAGATCATCACAATTCCATCAAGAGGTAAAAGTACGAGGGAGCCATCAACACTATTAATGAAAGATCGACTTAATTCACTTAAACTTAACTTTACACTCATTTTTTCTATCTTCATACCCATTGATATTCTAGAAGTCCTGGAGGAAGAAAAAAAAGGGACCGACTCCCATTGACAATCCATTAATCTCATCAATCCTTTGGGGTGAAAAAGAGATTGTTGGCTTAATTTAAATCTGTACCTATCCAAGCTGCGACACGAGCCGAAATACACACATAACCAGCTACGACACCCATCCTCTTTTGACAGACACCCCAGAACTCTAGATTCGACAAATGCGCTCGTAGGATCTTCACAAAACTATCGATTGAGGACAACCTTTCGAACAGTACAACGGCGCCATGGGCCCAGTCCGCTCTTTACGGCGTACAAACCCACTCACCTTGGTTGTGGGTGTGGTCTTATGTATCATAATATTCGTCTTCCTCTTTTCCCCATCCAACGCCGACGCAGCAGCTTCGCAATTAAGGAGAGCCAGCGCCGCATCCAATCCCCTCTCACCACCTACCTCTCCCTTTCGCAAACAAAATGAAGCTACGAAGAGCGGGAAACGCATACCACCACCCGTGGTTCATTACCACATGAATAATGTTACCAGCACTGCCGATCCTTTGGGAAACCGAGAGATGATTCTCATCTTGACACCGCTGGCAAGATTCTATCAGGAGTATTGGGATAACTTGCTGAAGCTTTCATATCCGCATGAACTTATCACTCTCGCGTTCATCATCCCACGAAATAAGGAAGGAAATGCCGCTACGGCAGCATTGCAGGAACAGGTTACAAAGACCCAGAAGTCAGGACCGGAGAAGAATCGTTTCGCAAGTATCATTATCGAACGACAAGATTTCGATCCCCCCATCGCATCCCAATCCGAAACCGAGAGACACAAGATGGAGAATCAAAAGGCACGAAGAGCCGCAATGTCCAGAGCTAGAAACTCTCTTCTCTTCACGACTCTTGGACCCTCCGTATCTTGGGTGCTATGGTTAGATTCGGATGTCATTGAGACTCCTCCCACCTTGATTCAAGATCTGGCTTCGCACGATAAAGCCATCATCGTGCCAAACTGTTTCCAAAGATACTACGATACTAAAGATAAACGCATGTCGGAACGCGCCTACGATTTCAACAGCTGGCAGGATAGTGATGTGGCACGAAAGCTTGGGGAATCCATGGGCCCTGATGATATTCTATTGGAAGGTTATGCGGATATGGCGACATATCGAACATTGATGGCATATCTTGCCAGTGACACTGGCGATTCCAAGGAAGTGATACCGCTCGATGGGGTAGGAGGAACGGCATTGATGGTCAAGGCAGAGGTTCATCGTGATGGGGCTATGTTCCCTCCGTTTGCATTCTATCATTTGATTGAGACGGAGGGATTTGCTAAGATGGCAAAGAGATTGGGTTGGGAGGCTTTTGGTTTGCCTAATTATAAGGTATGTTACATTACTCTTTTTCTTTGTCTCTCTCATCTTTTTGTTCTCATGGCATACTCTTCTTTTACTCACGTACCCGAATCACAGGTCTACCATTTCAACGAGTGAGAGATGTCCGGCACATCACAATTTCTCACTCATATACCTTCTCACTAGATATTTGAAACGAGGAAAAGATGACATAATATTTTGGATGGATGGATGGATGGATGGACGGATGCAAGAACAGTGGTTTTCAGATGAGATAGAAACTCTATCAGGAATAGCATAGTCATGAGGAGGGAGGGAAATAAATGGTCGGTTGGGTCTCACATCCATACCATACCTACATTGTGTATCAAAGTGTAGGGTACTGGAAAAATAAATAGGATCGGGCGTTTGCTGTCTTTTTTTTTTTTCGACGCGAGTGAATGAGAATTTCAATTGTATTTTTTCTGTTGAATTGTGTGTTTGTTTTTTGTCTGTCTCATAGAGTAGCGGAAATGTGAAGACTTTGTGGTAGCAGTTTCTGATTTGGTGTGTGAGATGTGGTGAGTTCTGGATTTGCAAATTAACATGCGAATGAATGATTGATTGAGTGAAAGAAGAAACACTAGTCGCGTTTCTTTTTTTACATACTTGTAATTGGTATTCGTATAGGAGGGGGGAGTTTAGTAAGCTTGTATATCTTGTATACACAGATATATACACAGATGTATATATATGTATGTATGTATAGGATAGGATAGGATAGGAATAGGATAGGAAGAGAGGGGGGGGGGATGAGTTGATTTGGTTCTGGGAGATACTGTGGGAGATGGATTGTGTGGGTATAGGGATGAGGAGTAGTATAGGCATGTATATCTTTGGATGTATCTTTGGATGTATCTTTGGATGTATCTTTGGATGTATCTTTGGATGTATCTTTGGATGTATCTTTGGATGTATCTTTGGATGTATCTTTGAATATATCATTAGGTGTATCTTTGATTATATCTTTGAGTACGTAACATGCAGGTAGGTAGATGAGATGAGATTAGATAACGGTTTGTGTAGTAAAGAGAGAGGTATTTATTTGTACAAGTACTTGGGTCGGTGTTGTTTTGAGGACAGAATAGCTTGGGTTGGAATACGATGGAATACGATGGCTTGGGTTATACCTAATCAGATTACATCTGAGAGAAGAGTTGTTATCATCACACATCTCTCTTTCCCCTCTCCTTCCCTTTCCCCTTCTTTCTTTTCTTTTCTTCTCTTCCCTCTTCCCTCTTCCCTCTATCCCATCCTCCTCTCCACTCCCAATCCAATCCAATCCAATCCAATCTAATCTAATCATTACAATTTTCAAAAGCAAAACCTCTGATCACTATTCTCTTCCCCCTCTCTTTTCTTCCCCTTTCTTCTGTTCCTCTTTTCCTTCCCCTATCGACCCTCATGTACTTACTCGCTTACACCAGGAATCTTATAAACGAGTTTTATAAACAAGAGTACCTATACATACACATAGCGCAAAGAACATAATTAGTAAAGTACAAAATGTATATGAAAATCAGAGGAAGAAGGTAAGAAAAGAAAGTAATCAGAGTTCAACTACTTCAATTCAATCTTGCTCTCATTTGATAAGAAAAGAATTGACTAGAACTCAATCTTTTGATACACTAATTTCATTTACTCAGATCATTTCATGCTGTATGATACCGCTCATTCCTCCCTTACGGACTCATTAAAGCATTATGAATCACACATTACACATTACACATTACACATTACAAGATTCACAACACATCGCATCATCACCTCGTAAAAAACTCATCAAAACTCAAAAGAAGTATACAATTTATCAGCTGACAAACTGGCCAGCAAAAGTCATGATATTCGTATCTAAGTCGTAGCTACTGTAAATAGTCCCTAAATGTATGTTCTTTGATTGATCTCTAAATCTTCAACACCTATTCGCCTAATATGCAAAAACCAACGCCTTTGAGTCCTAAATGAAAAATTCCGCATCATATCTTGTTGATCTCGGGTTGTATATGGGAAAGAAGGTATTAAATAATACAATATGTAGTAGTGCATGTCTTGTAAAGACAGGGAATTGTATAACAAATTCGCATATAACCAAAGGCAATTGCAAGATAATTAAAACATTTACATGCCAAGCATGCTCATTTGTCGTCTCAAGGGACTGGCGCTGAGACTACTATCTTCACTACCATAGCAGGCTGAATCAGTATCGATATCCCATTCAGCTTCTTGTTCTTGATTTTCCTCGGTACCATCCCATGCCTTTTGCATAGCACCACGAGTATTCCATCTTAGAGTTCTGGATACACTGTCGAACCACTCTGACGGAGAGCTAACCACGGTGGGGAATGGGTATTGAGAAGCGGCAATAGTGACGTGATCACCTTGCTTCAACTCAACGCGTCCCTTTCCGTCGAATGAACAATAAGCCGTGGCTCTAGAATTGCGTGGAATGGATACTCGGAGTAAGAGTGTATCCGAGAGAATCATTGGGCGGAATGAAAGAGTATGAGGGCAGATTGGTGTGAGGAGGATGGCAGGGATATCTGGGTGAACAAGTGAGCCACCAGCAGATAATGAGTATGCGGTTGAGCCAGTGGGAGTCGAGAAAATACATCCATCAGCTTGGACAACAGTCAAAAGCTCGTTGTCACCATATAACTCGAGGTTAGAGATGTAAGAAGATGGTCCTCGATCAATGACGAGTTCGTTAAGGACCTCAAATTGTTCGCCTTCTACCGCATCGTGACCTTGTTCTTTTCCATCTCGGTATATTGTACATGTGAAGCGCATACGAAGGTTAACTCGCATACCTTCCTCTCCCATAACTTTGTTCAAGTGTTCCTTGAAGCGATCATATTCAAATCCAGTCAAAAAGCCAAGACTACCGAGACTGAAGGATAGAATTGGTGGCACAACACGTTGGAAGAGCCACGAAGTAAATAGGACAGTACCGTCCCCGCCCAAAGTGAGAACGAGGTCAAATTTCTCCGGTTGACTCCAGCAAAGATCTGGTGACCAATATTTCAGAAGATGTTGGAATCGAGGTTGTGATTCAATCAAAGCTGCTGCTCCAAAACGCTTCGAGTTGCGCAACTTCGCATCGACATAAACATTAACACCCAGGTCTGAGCCATATCGTGGAGTGCTCATGAGCCAAAGGGCTAAATCCTTGGTCAAATTGACCAACTGATTATCTCTAGCCTTTGTAACAATCATAACATTGCGGACAGCTCTCTTGATAGGACGTCTTTGCAATTGCTTAGAAACTTCTCGCACGCCAGTAGCCGTTGCCATGAGTCGAGAATGTGACATTGATTCGTCTCCGTTGATCTCTTCAAGCACCTTATCGATATTGACAGCGTCATCGAATCGTTGATGGTAAAAGCATGGTGATTGTATTGAGGGAAATCGAGCTGTAAGCGGAGTGTTTCGCTGTGCCAAATCCGATATTGCTGCATTGAGTTTTTGCGATGAGGCAGTCCCCGGTCTCTCAGTAGATGGTGACTTCATGTTTGCTAAAGAAAGGTTTTGTGGATTGTGCTGTTTCGACGATGCCAGTGCTTTCATAATAGTCTGGCGAGGTACAGCGTCGACGGATAGAGCGTTCTTGCAATGATTATGGAAAGTTCGGGAAGCCCGTGTAGGAAATACCGGTGATGACGGAACAGAAGCCGAGTCACTTCCTATAGTTGTTGCAGCGGAAAAAGTTGTGGATGGGTCAGTCGATGATTCGGAAATATCATTATCTGGGAAGTTGGTTTCGATGGCACTCAGAGAACCGAACTGTGCGCCCTGTTCGCGTCGGAGATTTTCTCCAAGATTAAGTTTTGAGTTCAAGGCATTGAAACCCAAAAAGGATTGAGCCGTAGCTGAAGGAGTAACAGCTTCATCAAATACGAACTGAGAAGGTTGTGGGGGATCATTGGGCTTAGTAAGAGCAGGATGGATCGAAGTTGGGGAGCGAATGTCGGATGTGGACATTGTGGATGATGACGCCAAATGTTTTTTGAGTAATCTTTTTTGAGTCGGAGTTCGGAAGTCGGTAAAATGTGTCATGAATGCCGACGGATCCTGGGGTGTGATTGGTTGATGCAAGGATCATCAAACAAAAGTATTATTATCGATTGGGTGTCGAGGGTGTCCAGGATAAATGCTGGGTAAATCGATAGTCCGGAGTACAGAGCAGCCCTAGAGATTGTATGTAGATAATGCAATCTAGGTCGAAATCAGATCGATCGACTGTAGATATCTCGAAGGAGAAGATGGAGAAGATGGAGTGGAAGATCCTCTTTCGGTACCACTCCTTGATTGTCTGGTCTGACGAGAGGGAATAAAGTATAGAAAGGAGTCGAGGAGAAGACAACGAAGAATAAGAAGAGAGGATGGAATTATAGATGAAGGGAAGTGTTTGTTTGCAGTTTGCGGAGGCTTGTTGGTTGTGGATTCGACTTTGTTTTGCACAGACAGTCTTGATGAAAGAGGCCAACAGTCCGTATCGGTTTGTCCGTAAAGATGTGATTTCGGACACAACGGAGGTAAGAAGTGGATGTGTCGTTTACCATTAGGTATTTGGAAAGATGGATATGTATTATATAAATTATATCGCCAGGTGTGGTTTCGGATCTGGGACCTAATTTCTTCGATTGGCAATTGGCAGTGGGCAGGTTGGCGGGCTGATGAAAATGTCAAAAGATGCAGGAGAATATGTGATATAGATCAATCTCGAGTAGCACCAATCTTGCCAAGTCGTAAAAAGATAGGATATATCTTGCGGTAGACTACTAAATGTGATCTCAAGTCAGTCAGTCAGTTCTTCTTCAATTGCAAAATTGATATTGGTCCCCAGTGCTGGTCCCAATGCTGGTCCCAATGCTGGCTCTCAATTAATCCTTCCACCAATCCTAGGTAATCTTCATTATCAATCTTCAATATGCTTCTACCCCACACATAGAAGATGTATAAATATGGATATCCTCCCAGATAAAGTATGTATGAATGCCCCCATCGAGCCCATCCCGTCTTAACTCCACAAATGAAGGAGTAGACTCACCTAATTGCAGTAAGCGAAACTAATAAGCCTTTCTATAAGCTTCTTATGTGATATATCTTGCGTCTCGACAGCTTGTTGTGACCCTCTTCTGTGAAAGCGTCGAAAGTGTAGGGTTTCGTGTCTGGTGATTAGTTTCTACAAGGTGATAGTGATTTGGCGTGCAGAAGAACGACACCAAAATAGTCAGAGAAATAACAACAAATGAAGATTAAGATATCTGCCCGTGGGAAAGAAGGCCGTCGTCTAAATTCGGAGGACCGATCGGTGGGAGAAATAGAAGAGAAGTAAATCGATGCCGAATAAAACAAGCAATACCAAGCCAATATTAAAGTAGAAATGTGCTCAAATACAACGGTTCAAATACCCACAACTGAAAAGAGAAAAAAAAAGAGGCAAACAAAGCGCACAAGCTACCGGAGCTTTGCTGAAAGAATTGAGTACTAAAAACGACAGGTTGGTCTGATGAAGACTAGAGAGAGAAGAGAAAGGATACTCCCACTGACAAGACTTCCCTTTCTATATAAAGTGAGTTAGTCTAGTTACGATACCTCTCCAGATTCCTTTCCTCGATATCTATCTTGTTTTGCCTTCACAATGGGACGCTGCACCTTCGAACCCGGTTACAGCTGTCACTCCACTCTCCACTATGATCATCAAATATGGAGGCGAGTTTTGAATCTCGAAAGGATCCAAGCTAGCGTTTTCAGTCGGGGTCCAAGGTCAGCATTAAGCATAGGTAACTCGCAATACCAGTAACATAAAAGGTACGAAGATACAAGCATGGTGTTTGATATCACAAAATACTATCAATTGCCAGTGAGCATGATAATATTGAAAGACTTATTTCATCGCGTATTGATTTTGCTGGCGAGTATTGTATTATTATATTATAGATTTCATCTGATCAACCTGTGGCTCGGGAGTTACTCTCGAAAAAGCACAAAACTCCCTACGCAAAGCTGCAATCGCAATTGAGTACTTCCTGGGCTTCGCTGTCTGACTCGACTTAGAATACTCATCTCCAGTGAACGTTTTGAATTTGCTACCTGTATCGGGAATGGCCGACGGGGGCATGAAACGTGGGACCTTGACACGTTGTATCAGATACCCGATACACACATCCTTTAATGCCTCGGATAACATTGTTTGTTCACATCTCTCCCGCAATTGGTACTCAGGAAAACGACCTTGGTCCCAACTCAGATCGCGTTCATAATTCGTTTCGATATGCGGCACCAGCCCTCGTATGCATTTTCACATGTGGGCTTCCCTGTTCCCGTATCCAAGATGAAACCATATTACGGTCCTGACGTTTGGATGACAGCGGTAACATTGATAGAACATTTTCAACCTTTCCAATGGAGATCAGTAGCAACCTTTTCTTGTACTGCAGATTTGACGAACATCATCATGCTTGAAGGTGCCTCATTCTCAAGCCCGTCTTCATGCATGATATCGTCCTCCGCCAATCCATGACCTTTGCAGCATAGGCCCTTTCCGTGCTCGTACACTTCCTCCCATTCATCCAAATCAAAACTTCCCTCACTTTCTGCAACAAGAAGCTCCCCGTGTGATGTGAATGCTAATACATGGACTGAAGCAGCATCTTGACAATCCAGAGGAGTGGGATTTTCTATTATAGTTGTGCCTTCCTCAGTATTCTTCAAGGCAAGCAATACTGATGTCATGGTCATAGAAAGCGGTATAGAAGCGGATAATAAGGTCAGAACCGACGTTTGAAGGAGGGCAGGGAGTAAGGGAAGGTTCTGAGTGATCATTAGCAATCGAAATATAGAATAAAAGTGTGGCACACATACCGAGCTGGCCTGTACAAGTTTTGACCAAGCAGTATCATTTTCTGGTGTACTTGTGATCTGTAATGTAACTTGAATAAGGGTCCGTGGAAAATTGTGGATGAGGATTATTTGGCGCAGAGAAGATTGAAGGATTGCTTCAAGATGTCTTTCCCTAGTACCTAAGACATGATCAGTTCCAAGTCCGTCAATCAAACAGTATTCCTATCAGAGTTACGCACCTCCAACACCAGCAGCTGGTCTCACTATGACATCTATAGCCGCTTCTTCTGGTAATTCATCACGTCTCTGAACTTCAATGGGACCGTTTACAGCGCCAATGATAGTATAACCATTTTGTGAGAAGCTAGCGGAACCATCTACTCTATGAAGAGGCGATAGTATAGTTGTGGGTTCGGTTGAGCTGACCATTTTGTTTTGTAGGGGGGACGTAGATGTGAAGTCCAAATTTATTGTGAATGCGATTGAAATCTTCCAAAGCTTGAGCAGAGCTTCAATAATGAATGCGCTTGCACTGTTGAAATTGAATTGCAATTTTTTGTTATCGTTATCGCAGTGTGCGCTAAACACTCCTTGGGAATAGCCTAAAGTCCCCAGCAGTGCCGTGGGGTCGGTACCTTTCGAGCTTGCCATGCCACTTTCTCTCCTTCGTAATCAACATCAACAATATCAAGCATTTACAAGATGTCTTCAACCACAGAGCACATACAGAATACAGGGAATGGAGTTACTACAGGTATTCCCAGCCTGCGCGATCGTCTTCCAAAATTAGAACCTCGAAAAAAGCGAAATGCACCATCGAATCCTCTTCCCGTCCCTGAGACCCCAGATCTACCATTTCCTCCAGATCAGTCAAGCTTGAAATTCTGCAAGCCTACGAGACGAATCCTATCACCGAAGGATCATGATCTCTTCCTTCAATCTCCTACTTACAAATTGCTCTTAGCATTTGTCTTTAGTCTGACAGATTCAGTCATCGATACACCAGTCTCAGCGACTACTAAGACCGACCTCAGCTCCACCGTTACCACTATTCTCGAAATATTAGATAAGGTTGAGGATGTGGTACAAAGAAGTCCGCCGGAAGAGCAAGGTGATTCAAGATTTGGTAACAAAGGTTTCCGCGATTTTCTTGATTTAGCTACAAAAGAGCATGGTGGATGGCATAAACAATTGGGTGTTTCATCCGATGAAGCTATCGCCGAAGTCTCTACATACTTTTTACAATCTTTCGGAAATCGCACCAGAATCGACTATGGATCGGGACACGAGTTGAACTTTATGATATGGTTATTGTGTTTATATCAACTTGGAATAGTGACTCGTCAAGATTTCCGCCCGCTGGTCTTGAAAGTATTTACACGATATTTGGAGCTTATGAGGACTATACAGAAAACGTATTATCTAGAACCGGCAGGGTCGCACGGAGTATGGGGACTCGATGATTACCAATTTCTTCCATTCCTGTTTGGCGCTTCTCAACTTTTACATCATCCGTACATCCGTCCTTTGTCGATTCATCAAAATCTTATATTGGAAGAATATGGCAATGAATATCTGTACTTGGGACAAGTTAACTTTGTTAATAGCGTTAAAAATGTTGAAGGACTGCGGTGGCACAGTCCAATGTTAGACGATATATCTTCAGCGAAAAACTGGACTAAAGTTGAAGATGGTATGAGAAGGATGTTCGTGGCCGAGGTTCTCAAAAAACTGCCTGTCATGCAACATTTTCTTTTTGGTTCTCTGATACCAGCTGAGGATGGTATGAGCACAGAGGAAGAGTTCGGAGTTCCCAATGAAGAAGATGATGCGGAAGGGGGAGAGGTAGTCGTCATGCATGATGGAATGAGGCATGTTCATCAAATGAATAGTTGGGGTGATTGTTGCGGAATTAAAGTACCGAGTAGTGTTGCGGCAGGCCAGGAAATGAAGAAAAGGATGGGAAACGAAGGTTTGAGAAGAATACCCTTTGATTAAGATATGATACATAGTTAAATCAAATCAAGCTATAAAGTAGTATCAAAGGCTATAAGATTACTATTTTGCGTTTGCGTTTTAATTTGGCATTTCTACCCCTCGTTTGAAGTTCGCCAGTTTCGGTTTCTAACGTAGAGTAAAATTTCATCTCGTTGCGTTTCCCAAGCCCTCGACAAGCCTTCCAAACCTTTTGGGCACACATATAAACATACCTTTCACCATATATGGTCTAATTCATATTCCAGATTCAAAAAACCGCAGCGTGTGGCACATACAGAACATTCGTATCGCATCTCATTTTCTATTATGATTTAGATAGCTAGCTGTATTTGCAAAGCCTTGATAGATACCGGCCGGCATATAGACAATCTCAGCCTGATACTACCCCTTGTACACATCTGGCTTCCAAATCATTGTTCATCTACTAAGAAAATATTTACCTCCTCACTCGGTATCACGATCATGACCACAAAACGACCCTGGGCATTTTTTTCCGGAAAGGACAGAGCCCCCCCCTCTCTTTCCTGATTCAAAATTGAGAGATTATTCTCTTTTCTATATAAATTTTTTAACTCGCGTCATTATGATATGACTAGAATGTCATAGGCTACAACTCTACATCAACAGCCACCTGAACATCAGCGAACCTGCTTAAGCTCGTCAAAAGCCTCTGGGATAACCGAAAAACAATGGATACAGGTGGTCAAACACTAAGTTGCAAATTGGTTCCGGCTGTCAGAACAATGGTATATGTTTATTCAAAAAGCATTGTCTGGAATAACTTTCCATGGGACGACGTTGTCCTAGATACAAATCCCGAACTTTGGTGGTGAGATTTCGATGCGAGGATTTGGAAGTTAATGGCGAAGTGTTACATTCGAGTGGCTTTTACGACCTCCAAATTGTGAGATCGTAAGATAGAATGGGAAGCCTGTGGGGAACTTTTTGCTCTGCGAAGTACTAATATTATGCATGCTCACCTTTTTTTCTTGGCATCGTCATTACGACGAAATGGAATACGTATGCGTTGATTGTAGCTAAAATTTCCGGATGGATGGAGAGATATGAAGTGTATACTTTGATTGTGAAGGGGAGCTTTGGGGCAGGAGAGCTGCATAGTCTAGAAGAGTGGATGGGAGGGTTTTGAGAATTATTGAAATGTGGGAATGTAGGGCTTGGGTCTGAGGAAGTTATGGGAGATTGTAGGGAAAGTATGTCTATCGTGTCTAGTTTGGTGTCGCAATTTATATGGGTGTGTGTACTAGGTAAGCAGTAGAATATATAGGCTGTACCATTAAGCTATCATGCTGCTGTGTTATCAACCCCGCAGAGAATCCTAAATTCTATTGTTCTTGAGGTGTTGATACTGGTATGAACTCAAACTATGGAATGTAAAGCAAAGTATTGATTGTAATTTATAGGCATTCATTTCTCCTACTCTATGGAACTGTGCGTTCCTTTAGAAAGAGCCAAGAGGATACATTCTATCAAATATATCTTTTTGGCCCAAATGACTAGGAACCACATTTCTGATGAGTTAAACTTCAAGATGGATTCAAATTGATGAATACCATAGATTGTCATAGGGGCTTTCCACCAATGCTCATGGCGTAACAAAGGGTAATCATGCTACAGGTGATGCGAGTGCGAAAGTAAATAAGATAGATACTTTTATTGAATAGAGAATTAAGTAAACAGCTCCCGGAAGAGCGAGATAGCCGAGTTGAGACTTGGAGTTGGAGAATGTTGTATTGAAGGAGTTACAGGAATTGGCAAATGAAACTCGTTTTTAAAGTAGCTAAGTTTGAGGCTCAGTGAGATCAACATGTATTCACTATCACTATTTGAATTCATGTAGGTATTCATCCTACTCAACACCATGTAGGTGAACATTATAGACGGGGGAAAGGTATTTTCTTGAGCGGGAAGAGAAGAGATTTATGCTCATGACGCAAAAATTGATTCATTGATGAATTAGACGATGAAAAAGAAAGTTTGATGGTAATCTAATTACCTCATGGAGTCCATCCACACGTGAATTTTCTTCTCACAGATCTTGACCATCTCTAAGGGTTTATGCATTTATCAACTTCATTTTGCTACATGAAGATACACTATAACAGCATCAAGGTGTTTTGACCACTTTAAACCTTATTGAAATCGAATTTGATTGAAGGCTTGATAATGTGATGGAGTAGATCTTGGGATTTGAAGATTCACAATATGAGGGAATGAGGAAAAGAGAGGAGATTTGAGAATGTTGGGGCTACGAAGGTTTGTTGGAGAAAAGGGGAAGGAGGAGACGAGAAGGTATATCATAAGATGAATCCTGCGTATTAGGGATATGAAATGAAGGGTTTAAGATAGGAGTGAAAGATGTGACGCGAAAGCTGTGTTTACTTGATAGTAAACTACTGGATGATTGCTTCTGGGGTGCAAGGGTTTGCTATAAACTGATAGATTTGGCCACTTAATGCTTGAACGAAAATAATGAAAAAGCAGACCATCATCTTCACTGTGAATTTAGAATGATCGCGAGCGAGGAACCCTTTGAATATTGAAGCCGAGCTACAAAGATATTTGGATCGGACTATTCATAGAAGATCAAAGACACTTTGATAATATTCAATGGTCACTGTAGAGCCATTTATTTCAGGATATGCACTGGAAGAAAAGAGTGAGATATGTGATCGACTACTTGGTTGAAATCATCATCGAACACCACCAGTGGGTCGCTTCGACCCCTTCTCCTCTGGAAACAATACTTAGACCGAAACTATACATCAAGTCTACCTGATACTTCTCATCTTGGAATAAATCTGGAGGCGAGTGAACATATCATACATCTGATGAGACCAGAAGTTTTTGTGAGAGTTACATTTTCGAATATAAGACTTGCGATGGGGGGAGCCTAGAATTTGGCAAGGGAGTTCTGATGTTAGCTGAACACGTACTTCTCTTGGACCCCAGATATTGACTCGATCGCGGATATTGATCCGGTCTCATCAACCAGACTCACGTTTTATGTCTTCGGTTGCGTATCCGATGAGCCCGGTAGGATTCTGTGTAATCAATGCATTGAGCCATCGGCATGTACTCTTCGACGATTCCCGAGAACCTGAATTCTGCATTGAAGGAGAAAGACATTATGAATTATTCGGACTGTCAAGTGTGAAGCATGAAGCAGTGGGGTTGGCAGTCAAATCATCATTGACACATTTCTTGACCGAGTGCCGGCCGCGGTTCTACCCCGCACCTTCCATATCGGACATGTTCCCGAGCCAAAGAGCAGTGCGGGTAAGAAGCAAAGAGTGTTTATTATCATCGTCACTTGAGCGATGAAAATGGTAAAAGTAAAAGAGATTCAAGAAGACAAATACCAAGACACAGGTAAAGAGTGGGATGTGATCATGGCAGAAATTTCTTATAAC